TAAAGTTAATTATCTTTTTATTTTTAAAAAAATAAAAATAAAAAATGGAAAAGTTGTATCAAAAGTTTGTTTGATCCAAATGATTAAATGCCATTCAGTGCAAAAGAATCTTCAGAAAATCCTCTTCACCGGCCAAATGATTAAGCAGTATCCTTGATGACATCTTCCACGCCTGTTCAACTAAATAATGCTTATTGGTCACAGCTTTAACCTCTTTCTGTGCACATCAAATATTAGTACAGTGGTTTCTGAAGCATCTCTCACTATATCATTCTGCACCAATGCCAAAGAACGACACACTTCACGGTGAAAACAAATGAAGCAACAAAGAAAATCCTACTAGAATTGTATGAAAATCAGGTAGGAATCAAATTTTACAATGTTACATAACTACATTGACAGGATGATACCCAAAAGACAATGAGTTTCATTTTTAGAAGCATCCAATAACACCTAGAACAGATTTACTACTAGAATCTAAAACGAACACAGAGTAACAAACATTTTAATGTTTTACATTAGTTGATAATCAAATGTTCATGGTATTTAAAGACCAAGGTCCCCACAATCACCCCATCATGGTTTTCTTAAAATCTGTGTTGTGAGGAGAGGCAAAGCAAGTTCTACTTTTTAGGCACCATCTGGCTGGCTAAAAGGGTTCGCAATCTCATCTGTACCATCTGTTGGCGACACAAGCATTACAGCAGTTCCCCTACAAACCTGCGGGACAATAATGCACACTCAAAACTTGTTGTAGAGAATAATTTGAGAAAAGAAGAAAAAAAGTCAAGAGCTCCAGTATCAACTTCCTCTTTTTTGTCTTTTTGTTTTACTTGATCATACAAATATTACCAATGAATATTTCTTCACAAATACACATTAGAGCAGCTTTAGCATAGCTAAAAAATAACAGGATAGCTTTCTAAACAAGTTAGGCAGCCAGAAAAAAATGACAACATTAAGTCGGCAAGATGGAGAAATGCATAAGCACTACTGAATTCTTTTCTTTTTTTCGCTCTGAAACACTAGTGAATTCAAGAAGGTTATTTTACTTGCTAAATAACTTATGGTTTTGGATAGTTCCCTGGGCACTAGCAGTTGACATTAATGGAGGAATTGAAGTAGAAGTTGATGATTTCATCGAAAAATGCACATGGAGGATTATTCGGATGAAACTAGTTCGAAGACTTACTTTGTGTAATGCTGATGGCCAAAAAAAGAAAAGTGAAATTTGTGAAGCCTAAATTGAAAAATACTGGTCTTCAATGGGAGAAGAAAGCTGAAAAGGGCACTTTTCTGAACATGGGGAAAATAAAAATGCAGAGAAACTTTTAGCAGCTGACTACATGATTGAGTTGTATCAGAAAATTCACTCACTAAAGCAAAAGGATGAAGGAGTAGGACCCTAGAGGAGTACAATTATGCATTCTGTAATCCCTCAAATTGAATTGGTTAAGTAACGAGCATTTAACATCTCTTTATCTTGCAGGGTTAAATCAATCAACTACAGATGAGATGGGAGTTTTGCGTTTGTTCAACCCAAATGGATCCAATATGCCTCAATGAGAGAAAGAGGCATGGTGCTATGGTGCAAGAGGCCCTTCCAGGAAAGAATGATGGTGCAGCACCTGTGAATCTAGCTGTTGTTTGGAGTGTTTCAAGTGAGCAAAGCAATGAAGCTGGGACAAGATGCTACCTAAACTAACAAACACATGGTAGACATGTTGCTAATATTGACCAGGTGAGAAAGGGAAGGAAATAGTGAGAGATGATGCTAAAACCAGCTTTCTTTCAAACTCTTATGAGGTTGTCAGCAAGTTGCAATGTTGTTCTTACTCTTTTAAGCAGAGGGAAACTGTTCCTATACATAACCACTATGATGGGTGAACACCAGAGAGTGAAGAGGAATACTAAGTGTTACCGGAGTCAGTATTTGATGTTGGCTACTGAATTTGGAAAGGAAATGATGTACCAGTCACTTCCAGATGTTTAACTATATTATATCACGGGTAACAAAATTGAAGATGAAGTGTGATAAGGAGCCTATGAGGTTACATTCTGTTGGAAAGGCCATAGTTTGCATGATAATAACATGATCCTTAGATTCTTTCTTTTCTAATTTTATCCAGCAATTATCATCTCTCCCCTTAATACAATATTCTCACAGTCGTGATGTGATCAGACTTTCAGAAAGTATCAGAACCAGCCACACCCCAAATCCTAACAATATTAGTCATAGTTCACTACCATTAAACCACCACCGAACATCTATGTATATATGTATGCATGCTTGAAGCTTTAGGCGCTGGTTTAAGATTCAACATCAGAGATATACTAGAAGAATACATACTATTAGGCCAAGGCGCCTGGTCTGATCCGTAGTCTTCAATGGATCATCAGAATCTGCAATGAAGGTGGAAAATTCTTACGTCAAATTTATCATATCCACTAATATAGAAAAGTTATAAAATTTATCATGACAAGAACCTGAAGAGACTAAAACTCCTAGAAAATTTTCAAAGTCATCTAATTCCTGCCTTCTGTGCTGTAAGTTGGTCTTTCTTGAGTACAAGGATGCTATAAATTTAAACGCACGCAAGGCAAAAACAGTTTCCAGAAGGCTACAAAACATTTACCTCTTAGAAACTCTACTGCTTCGTCTAGGACAAGGTTTAACAACTGGTCATATCCTTTTAGAGTCCCTGTTACTGTAATCAAATTCAAAACAGAAAATTAAATTGTGTCCACACAATAGATAATTATAAAAATATATAAATTTCTCATTGATATTTTCCTAAACAGAAAAATGTAAATCCTGTTGACACTATGTTTGAAGCAAAGAGGTGGGACAACCTATTATTACTCAGCTAGTATCTATTCAGTGTTGCCGCATACCCCAGATTAATAAAATATTTACTCTACAACCTACAAATGGTGTAAATTTCTACATTCTGAATCTTAAACAATGTTTGATAGGATGTTACAACTCCTATTTCTTGGTTTAGAACTGAAGACTGCTTTAACTTTGACCCTCTAAAGCAGGGAAAATACTTCCTTAACCATAACGGTAATCAGATAACCCATAACCCCCATAAATCCACGAAAAATTGAGCAGAGAGACATACCAGTAGGCTATAGGCTAGATATAGCTAGAATCTTTTACACATTGATCAAGAATTCAACATAAACTAGATAGTAATTATTTGAGAAAGAGAAATGGGGAGTTGAGCAAAGTATACTAACCTTGTCTACCACCAGTGAGCTTGACTTGGACACCTTTGTCCACAAACTTGGCCAGGTCCAAGACTGTTTCTTTCCTCCCTGACTGAAATACAAAACACAGTTTCACCCACAAAATATAAACACCAAATCCACATGTAAGCCAAGCCAGGATATACAATCAAAAGTTTCAGTGTCTTTTTCTCGTGGGTTTCAAACTTACCATCTTATTTGGCTCTGTTCAGTTCTTCAATTGGATGATGAAGTTCTACTAAAAAACCCTAAAAAGCAAAACTTGGAAAATATTTAATAAAAACAAAAAACAAAAGTTAGACAATTGAATGACAAATATAAAAGTAATCAGGAAGAGAAAATAAAGCATCAGAACAAAAAAACTTATTCAATTGAATGAAAGATTTGACAAGTACCAAATGGCAACACACCAATTGACCTTTTGAGTGTAGACATGTATAAACACTTATCAAACATTAGGGTTTCCTTTAGGGTTTCTGAAACCCAGGAAAGATAACTTTTTCAAGCTATATATAACCACGAACACATTAATATAATGAGAAAATAAAAATTTAACGGAAAATAATAAAGAACTCAAGCATAAGAGGTGAAAATCAGTACCTTTGTCTCTCTGCTTATCTTCCAATTGCGGGTTTAACGGGAAAGGAGCTGATCGGTTGCCTTCCTTTGGAAGTTGGGAGATATGAGACAATGAAGAAGATGAGAGGCAGCACCAGACACAGAGTGGGAGCGGGAGCTTAACAAGGGTTTGAGTCTCTTTTATTTATTTATTATTTTTATTTTATGAGTAAGGGTTTTTTTTGGGGGGTCAATTATAAGTAAGGGTTTGAGTCTTGAATCTTCATTCTAAAAATCCACAAAAATCACTACTTTTTCGTTACAAAAATCACTATTTTTTTTTTTAATGAGAGAAAGCTCTCACCATGTGTTAGGGCAAACCCACAACCTCTAGCCGGAATTACTTACGTATGACACTCAACTGCTAGTTGTCACATGTATAAATTTATGTATGAAATTATAGATCGCGCCAATGAAGACTGCTGGCAGTGGGACTCAAACACTAATGGGGCAACACACAGTACATGGATCTTACCAATTGAACCAACTCTCATTGGCAAAAATCACTACTTTTCAATTCCCTTAAAAATTGAATTTTTGAATGATTATTTTTGCCAAATTATGATTGAATACCACCAAATTACTATTTTAAAGATTTTAATTGGATATCCATTATGTACAATGAGTTATTAAAATTTATTTGTTTTTCTCGTTTCCTTCTTATTTAAATCTTGACATATATATATGAATGGTAGTATTCTAAACAAAACAACCATATAGTGATATAAGGAAGTGGTTTAGGAAGTGCTCTAAATTCATAAATTTGAAATTGTTTCATCTAATGGACTCTTAAATTTCATGTTGTTTTAATACAAGTGATATTGAAGAAAGTGAATTTGAACACAAAATGTCGGGTGCATGAGTAATTACTCTTAACTACTCTACTTGAGCTACAATAAATTTCATTTTTAACCAATTGTTTGGGTCTCATATGCTTGAGGATGCTACGGAAGCAGTTTGGGCTGTGGTGTTTGGTTGGGCCTGACCCAGTTTTACCCACAAAGAAAATACAGCAAATGGAAAGACAAAAACAACCTTGAGCTTTCGTGTACTTGTAAGGGCAATGCTGTAGTTTAAAAGAAAAGTAAAGGGCATTTCATGAAAAGCCCATCAGTATATGATCTGCCGTTAACGCCCTAGGTCTTGTTTAGCAGCCGAGGGAGCAAGTTCATTGCTGGTGAGTGGAGGTCGTCGTCGTCGTCGTCTGGTTTGGAGATCGCAGAGCTTCAACAATGGCGGAGAAGGGCGGAAAAGGAAGGAAGGAGGAGGTCGTTACCAGAGAGTACACCATCAACCTCCACAAACGCTTGCATGGATGGTAATCCTTCCGTCCATGTTCGTTACTTTTGTACTGTTCTTGCTAATGGGTTAAGATCTGCGTTGAAGGAGTTTAATTTAGTCTTGTATTTATTTATTTTTAATGCTTATATTCTTCGTGTTTTCTGAGCAATATGTGCTTACATAGTTTATTTGATTTTGATCTTGTGCGTCTCCTATTATAATTTGTGATTGTTGAGACTGAAATCAAAAGAATTTGATTACCAAGATGTAGAAGCTATAGGGTGTTATAAATTTTATATCAAAAGGCATTGAGATGACTTATTTTCAAAGCATTACATCCATTTTTAAAAGTCAGTGGCTGCTGCTTATGAGTCTCAAAATGATGGTAGAGAACCCTGTTGTCGTTATAAACTGTTATTTTGTTCCCTCTCAGGAAATTTGTTTGCTTTAAATGGATTTTATTATGTATTATATGAAGTTTCATGATCATATTTTCGTATTCGTTTGTGTTTTTGTTGTGCTTGATACGTCCCCAGTCGGTATCGTTTTGCACAAGCAGTTGTTTACTTGTTTATAAAATTTATTTTAGTTGTGTGAATTGATCTCTGACTTCAATTGAATTTCGGCAGTAATAGCCAAAGCCAAAGCTGGTTAAAAAACATTTGCTTTTGTATACACGTCTGTGCCTAAATTCAAATGCATTTGGGTGGTTATGTGATGACATTACATTTCTAGACTTTGTGTGTCACAAAATTTGAATATGTTTAGATCAATTTTCCTGTGTTCTTATAATGTCTTTCTGAATGATGCATTGTTGAGAAACCAACCGATGTAAAAGAATGAAAGGTTAACTTGATATGAGAACCCGTCACAGTTTAGTTTTGCTTAGAAAATTTCTGGATATCTGAGTGTAATGTTGCAGACTCCATTTCTGCTGTATTCATTTGTTTTTCCTATGTTAGGCATTAGCTGTGCAAATGTTTAGTAACCTATATCTGGATTCTCTCTCATGCAGCACATTTAAAAAGAAGGCTCCAAATGCGATAAAGGAAATCAGGAAGTTTGCTGAAAAGGCTATGGGTACTACAGATGTTAGAGTGGATGTTAAGCTCAACAAGCACATTTGGAGCCGTGGGATTCGAAGTGTCCCGAGAAGGATACGCGTCCGCATTGCCCGGAAGAGAAATGATGAAGAAGATGCCAAGGAGGAGTTATACTCACTAGTCACTGTTACAGAGGTCCCTGCAGAGGGATTTACTGGTTTGGGCACCAAGGTGATCGACGAAGAGGACTGAACTAGTTTAAATCCCTTGGTTTTTTTTCCTTCTAGCTAGGTAATTCCAATTTTGGCTGTACTTTTATTTACTTGAGGATGTGTGGTCTGGTTTTGTCCGTCTTGGAAATTTCTTCAGCAGAGCATTGCAAAATTCTTATGTGGTTCATGATTTCGGTCTCGTCAGATTTTTCGGAATTCTTCTTTTCTGTGTAGTCTGGCTTTGATTGATTGTCTTGGCTAGTTTTCATGAATTCCGAACTTTAATTGTCTTTTGAAAAGTACAAATCAAAACCAAGAACTATCTTTTCTTTTCATTCGTTAATTTCTTCCCTTCATTTAATTAATTGGAAAAATAAGCAAAATAACAAGGTTGTGGGTGGGTGGCCAATTCATGAATCCATACCCACTCACACATCTTAACTTGGACTAATTACAAGGACTTTTGTACAACATATTTATTGGCGTTGTTAAGTACAACATATTTATTGGCATTTTAACAACGTAACATGTCCAATTATTTAATAAAAATAATTTATTCTATATTAATTTCACTAAAACTAGAAAAGTTTTTTTTATCGTTTTTCATTTTTTCATTATGATAATACTTCCCTTCTTACCATATAAGTATGAGCTCCTACATTCTTGACAATAGCAGTGTCACATGTGTACATAAGTTTTTTTTTTGTTGGTATTTTTGATGAATTATTTTTAGGCTTATTTACTGTAGCACCCCCTGAAACTTCGGTCAAATCTCACTTTACCCCCCCAAAGTTAAAATGACCCACTTAACCCCCTTGACCGTGGTTTTGTGTTCCACTTTCCCCCCACCGTTAACGCCATCCAAAAGACCGTCAAAAAAGCTGACGTGGCAGGGTCATTATGGTAAAAGATACAACAATAAAAATTCAAAAATCCAAAAGAAAAAAGAAACAAAAATTTTAAAAATTAAAGTATTAGTATGGAAAAAAAATATTAATTAAAATTAAATTATTATTTTAAATACTTATTTAATTAAAAAATTGAAAAATTAATATCAAAAAATTCTCTTCTTCTCCATCTCTCTCTCTTCCCCAGCAACCACCGTATAAACCACCAGCACCACCGTACCCACATACCCAAACATCAAACCCACCATCTAAATCACCATATCCATCATAGAGGATTGAAAAATTTAAGGAATTGTTTTGAAGATCAAGGTACTAGAGCTCCCTGAGTTGGCATATAGAGAATGAAATTTTTCCTCGAAAACCATTAACTTACTCCAATCCTCTACCCAGATCCCACCCACACCCATCCCCCTCCTCAGCCACACTAACCCCTTAACCCACCTACCCCAGCCATATCCACCCCACCAACCCAACTTCAGACCTCTCTCTCGCCACCATCACCGTCGCCACACCAGCCAAGAAGCAAGGCAAACAAAACAACCACTTCCAAGAATGAAGGAAGAAGAAAGCCTCCTCTGCACCCAGACCCAATCGGTCCAACTCGAAACCTAAACCCAATTTCTTCACTATTTGGGCAACACCCAGACCCTATTTTCTCTACAACGAGTCATCCCAAGAGTTTTTGAATAAGGAGAACTTCTCCACTGAGATCAAGTATAGGAAAGCCCTTGTTGGGGTTAATGACAGAATACTTGCCCATTGTCTGGGCTAATCGGCGAGGAGGTGGCTGGTAGAGGGATCGGGCTGTGGATGGGTGAGGAGGTGGCTGGGGGTGCGTGGAGAGGTTGGAGCTTTGATTATTTTCTGTTGGTTGGTTTTTTTCTTTTTAATTTAATTTTGTTATTTAAGTAGTAGTGACCCCATGAATGGGTGAAAGAGCATGCTGCAGATCCGAGGAAGAAGAAGCTGAACAGAGGTTCTGTTTTTTTTTTTATTTTATATATATATATAAAAGAAGCTGACCAAAACGGCGTCGTTTTGGCCCAGCTTCTAATTTTTTTTTTAAAACAGACACGCTTTCGGTTTCGCCGGCGTCGTTTGGAGGCGTTGTTGTTTCAGTGGTGGCGATGATGGAAAGTCAGTCTCGACCATGTGATGGTGAGGGTGGCTTTGGGTTATGAAGTTAGGGGAGGGAGAGTTCATGGGAGAGAGATGGAGAAGAAGATTTTTATGTATTAATTTTTTCAATTTTTATATATTTTTTTAACTAAACAAGTAATTATATTATTATATAATATATTTTATTCCACTTAAGCAAAAAAAGTGGGCCCTTTATATGACACATCATCACTTGTTGTAAAAAGTCTAAAATAGCCATGCCACGTCATCAAAACTGACAGAGTTATTAACGGAGATAACGGTAGGGGGTAAAGTGGAACACGAAACCACGGTCAAGGGGGTTAAGTGGGTCAAAAGTGGAACACAAAACCACGGTCAAGAGGGTTAAGTGAGTCATTTTAACTTTGGGGCGGTAAAGTGAGATTTGACCGAAGTTTTAGGGGGTACTACAGTAAATAAGCCTTATTTTTACATATGTGTCAAATTGTGATTTGTAGGCATGGAAGGAGATAGTAATATATTTTTAATTAGAAAAATGTAATATATATATATTGTAAAAATTACCACTAAACCAATAGGTAGCTAAAAAAATATATATATTACCACATAGTAAAACATAAGATTCTTTTTTGCACGTTTGTATTAATGCTGTAGATATTTTTTTTAAATTTTTTTTTGGTGAAAGAAAGAAAGTTTAGGTGGAAAAGTGGAAATTGAAGCAATCGTGCCCGCGAAGCTCTGTTTGAAACACGAGTATATAAAACTATATCGTCCCGCCAGTCCAATCTGGTCCTGCGCCAGTAATAACAGACTTGCTTCAGATATCATCTGCCCTCCCTCGCACCTAAACCCTAGAAGTTGCAGAGCCAAACACATACACAGTGAGAGAGCGATTGGGATGCTGTTAATCTTCTACATTGCACTCTCGTAGAGACGGAGCCAACTTCTCTCTCTCATTTTTCCTTTTTGCGATTTTCAATATTTATTTTCGTTGCAAATTAGGGATTGCAGAGAGAGGGGAATTGGAATTGGAATCGCGAATTCGGCATTGCAATGCCCAAAGTCCAGATCGGTAATGATCTCTTTAATTCAACTTGTTGTGTATGTTTTTTTTTTTATTAATCTGAATCTTGAGCTATATTTGTTCCTTGCATTTTGCCGAGAATTATGTGAAATTAATTGCATTTGCTTTGCTTGATTATTGTGTGTTTTCTTAGCATTTCTCTCATTAGACCTGGTTGATTTCTCACCGCATCTTTCAACTTTCAGAGAATGTTTGTCACTTCCAATTGGCTGAATTTTAATTATTTCTAGCTACTACAGACGTTTTATGTTTCTGGAACATGGTGATTTTTGTTGCTATGGTTACTTGTTTTACTTTGTGATATTTTTTTATTTTTTTATGTCAAAACTCAGAGATGGGCTGTGACCCAATTGACAGTGAATTGGATGATGTCGACTATGTCTCTGGCCTTAGTACTTTACTTGTTGCCACCATTCAGGAAGCCAAGGACAGGATTTCTCAGATTGAATATGTGTTCTGCAGCCAGCTCTACCCCTATTTCCAATCTAAGTCTAAAAGCTTTCAGAAATTTGAAGATGAATGGAAAGACAAGGAAAATGATCTCTTTCGTCAAATTGAAACACTTCGAGCTGAAAAGCAACAAACCCTTGAAGAGAACCGCTTACTCAAGCTTGACAAGGAAAATCCATCCAAGATTCAGGAAGAGAAGATGAATCAACTACTTGCTGAACTGAAAAGTGTACAACTCAAAGGTAATGAGCTTGAACAAATGCTTAAGCAGAAGTCTATGGAGGTCGATGAGGGAATGGAATTGCAGAGTAAGTTGCTCGTAGTGATTCAGTCAAAAGATTCTGTCATTGTGGATAAGGAAAAACAACTGAAAGAGAATGAAGAAGGTAGAAATGTGCTTCTTGCCAAACTGAGTGATCTTGAAAAAAGAGTCGATGAACTCCAAGAAGAGCTCGGAGGAAAGATTGACCTAGTAACCAAGGGAAATGAGCTTAAAGAAAATTTATTCCGGAAGATTGAGTATCAGGATGCCGAGATAATGAATAAAGAAAAGCTTTTGAAGGATCAGGAAGAAGAGAAAAAACTTATTCTGGCCAAATTTAAACTTTTGGAGGAAAATGTTGGTCAACTCCAAAAGGATCTCCTAACAAAGAACGACGAAGTGGAGGGTTGTGTCAAGGAGAAAAAACTGCTTCTGGTCAAAGTAACTGGTTTAGAGGAGAAAGTTAATGAGCTACAGGAGGATCTCAGGGTTAGGGTCGGCGAAGTGACCAAAAGAAGGGATTCGGGGGAAGAGTTACATAAACAAATTGAATCAATGAACTCGAATTTACTGGCTGAGAGGAAGAAGTGCACGGATCTTACTGTTGCTTACAAAAGGCTGAAATCTCAGCACAATTATCTCCGCACAAAGCATGGTCTTACTAGGGAGAATATGCTCCCCCAAAACAAGTTGGAAGGTGGAAGTGATTCATTGAGAAATGATCATAATCCATCAACTTCCCATGGTATGATGCTCTTGCTTTTTTCTTTTTTCCAACTTTATTACTTTTTTTTTTGCAAAATGAAATATAAATACACTGTCAGAAACTATTAATTATTACAAAAAATTATGGTGATCTACCAAATAGAGTTTTGCTAGATAATCCATCAACTTCCCATGGTATGATGCTCTTGCTTTTTTCTTTTTTCCAACTTTATTACTTTTTTTTTGGAAAATGAAATATAAATACACTGTCAGAAACTATTAATTATTACAAAAAATTATGGTGATCTACCAAATAGAGTTTTGCTAGATGATTTTTGGTTGGCTGATCTTCGTCTGTAACTTTTGATTTGAAGTCTCAGTTGTATCTTTTACTTTTAAGAACTTCCTTTGGTTGCTAAATGATTTTTGGTTGGCTGATATTCGTCTGTAACTTTTGATTTGAAGTCTCAGTTGTATCTTTTACTTTTAAGAACTTCCTTTGGTTCCTAATTTCATAGAATTAGGCGAATAGTAGGCATGCATTTACTTTTAGCCTATAGTTGGTTTTACCACTATGATTTCATTTGCTGGTATCCTTTGTTTAATCCATTAACCTATTGCAAAAATGGTAGGTTTTGTAGACAAAAATCAGCATGCTTCTGCAGCAGCTGGTTACGCGAAAAAAGTGAAGAATGAAATCAGTTGTAACAATAACTTGGAGGATGAGAAAGGAGGCAAGCTAATTCAAGAAACTAGTCCTCACTCTCCTACTTCCATCTTCCCCGTTGCACCAAAATGCCCTCCCAC